ATGCCTTTTGTTGTATGTGCTGAAAATGCGTCACATACGACAAATTCCCATACAAACGTACCTTTTTTTTAATCATAAAACGTTTGTCGTATGTGGCACATACGACAAATTCCCATACAAATGTAATCCTTTTTTAATCATAAAACATTTGTCGTATGTATCGCAAAACTTTGAACTTACGACAATTGGATGGTCCTCTACTATAACGATACAATTAAAATTGAAAATTAAACTAAGTAACTAATTTTAAAATTTTAAATTTTTAAATTTTAGCTTGCACTGAGTCTCCAATGAAATGAAAGAGATAAAAATGTACAAAAGACTGAATTTAAGTATTGTTTTTTGTTTTTATATAAAGAAAACGTATGTTCGTAACATATTTACAGCATAAGAGATGTACAGATTTTTTTTATTAAATACATGATTATGTTTTTGTTATGTTTTTTCTAATAAGTAATCATTATTTAATAAATATGTCTGTTTTTTTCATCAAATTATACCATCGTCGTTGAAATAGATACTTTACTATTGTCGTATGTTCTGTGGACAAAACAAAGTGGTGAGTAAACGCTACTTACGACAAATGTATACGGAATGAAAAGTAAATTTTCTCATTAACGTTAAGAGATATTAAATGTAAAAAATATGGGAAATCAAAACTAATAACACCAACTACGTCTCCTCCAAAATTACAAAAATCTACCGTAGAGTTTCGGATTAATTCGACCTTAAACTTCAAAGTCAATTTTCTCAAAACCGTGTTTTGTAACATTCGACATCCGTTTTCTGAGACGACGATATGTAAATATATTTTTATAAACGCTTTGAAGTATAGAAATTTTTAATATTAAAAAATAAATAAAATATTTTTTTTGTATATATATAAATGGTGTTCAAGGCAAGACCCACCTGTACAAAAAACGTGGAGCGTCATGGACAAAAATTTTACAATTTCGGACAGAAAAATGTGAAAACGAGCTAAGTTGCCATGTTACATTTGTGAACTTGCGATAAAACCACATATGTTTGTGGTTTTAGAAGTTTTGATTTTAATAAAAAAATTAATGTATTTTCCTGCAGAAAACGTACACTTTTATTTGATGTTTATTAAAATTACACCTTAAAATACTAGTTAGTGGTTGAAATATTGGAAGGGAACAGAGAAATTGAGGGCGGTATTGTCACTTGCGAAGCGAATAAATTTGGCGAAGCGAACGGTTTGGCGAAGCGAATGGATTGGCGGACGCAACTTAAATATTCATTAAGAGTGTTCGCTTTTACCAGCTTGTGCAAGTTCTTCGCATCGCGTACACTTTTAATACCTTCTCTGCCTTTTAATTCGCTTCGCCAAACCGTTTGCTTCGCCAAATTCATTCGCTTCGCAAGTGACAATACCGCCCTGAGTGTTTTGTCAAAAATTACCAAAATTCGAGATAACTTATTTTACTGGATATAGAGAAATAATTGGCACTTTTCACTTGGCTGGCCGGGATTTATTCAATTTTACATTTTAGAATTTTTGTGTCGGATTGACAAAGTTGCTCTTGATCGTGATGATGTGCTGCTGTAGTACATATTTATGAATGAATATCATTTGACCTTGAGAAATATGCGAATGCGTTTGTGAATGAAATAGTTATTTTTATACTTGAGTATGCGTGTAATTATGCGCATATGTATGTATGCTGCCGTGAGTTGTAAATACCCTGCAAAAAATTGTGCGACTAATCTCTAAAGAGATCCGAGATTACTCTCAATCGCGTACAATTGGGCATTAATTAGTGGCAACTAGTCTTATACGGGTACTAATGGAGGTCAATTAGTCTCGACTACTCCCTTATGGGTATAATTGGAGATCAATTAGTCCACAATTCATCTCTAACGGGTACTATTAACGATTTAATGATATGTACGCACTTAGTCAATGAAATTTCATGTGCGGCGTTGGCACACAGACAGAGTATTCACCTAACAAAACTGAGCACCCCGGTTCGAATCTCAGCTGGCGCAAATTTTTATTTTTATTTTTTAAAAGTGACTAGTCGCTTTTTATACCCGTTCGGGTATAATGGAGAACAATTAGTCTCTTCATAGGACATGCTCAAACAAAAGCGATCAGTTCATTCCATATAAAGAGATCAAAAGTGGTATTAGTCGCATGCTCCTTTGCGATTGTTCCCGGAGTCATCCCGGATTAGTCCCATTTTTTGCAGGGTATGTACATTTGTATGTATGTGCGTAGTAATTTTGGCAGTAATATGCACATACATACATATATACGTATGCATGTAAAAACGTTATCAGTTAATGGAGTACATATGTACATACATACATATGCATGGGGAAATGCATTTTCATTTGACTCCAAAACTATTGGGGCATATTCGTAGACCAAATAAAGTCGACTCTAAGTTAAAGTTTCTCAGTCCCAAATAAGAAGAAAGTTAGTTGCATCTTTTTTTCACAGATGCCTAATCCACTGAAAGTGATGTGAAAAAGCTGTAACTAACTTTAGTGTCGACTTTATTTTTACTATGAATATGCCCCATTATTCACATATAATACGAGTATAGAAGTGAAAAATGATAATGCACAGTTTTCCTCAGTATAAATAACTTTTCGACAAAAACAACTTTGAAGTAAACACGTGCAGTGCAATCAATGCATTTGTACGTTTTGTGAGAATACTACGGCAGCTAGAAAACTGCTGTTTATTGCATTGAAAATAGCGTACCTGTAAACTACCATTAGAATCAATAAAAATATAAAAAAAGATTTTCTTCGCTTTTAATGCCGACATCAAAACACCAAACAGTGCGCATTTGCGTTTTTTGGTCAATGTCTCCATCTTTTAAGTGAATTTGGGGAAAAACTAAGGAAGCTAGAAAACTGCGGTTTGTTGCATTGAAAATAGCGTAGCATCTACCATATGAATCGGTAAAAAAGTAAAAGTCGATTTTTTCACCTCAAATGCCGACGGCAAATCACCAACGAATTTGCCAATTGCATACATATTTGCATAAATTTCACATTTTAGATTCAAAAAATTGCATCTCTCGCATATATATGCATGTACACAATATGTCCATATTACATATTTCGACCTATGCATGCATTTATTTTAAGTAATTAACCAATTTAAAGAATAATAAAAGCATTTTAAAAATGTAAATAGCCGTCAGGATTTCGCTGTCTTACAAAAAAAAATATGCATTTGCTTTGATGAGACAATTTCTGTTAAATCTATTTTGCCTCTGGCTGGCCGCTCTTAATATGCGCTTCGCCAGTTTTGTTGGTATTTGACAGTTTCCACGCTGATTCGTTCATGGACCTTCTCTATAAATTTACGTTCTCTGACACAAGATATTGTGCGGTACCGAAACTGTTGCGTGTGTATGTACGTACATGCATGCATGATTCGTGTGAGGTACAAGTGCTTGATTGTATCAAATTGTTCGAATCGATACCAAAATATGTTGCGTGTATACATATGTATATACAGTATATTTTGCTTTGCCGCCTTTATGCTTAAGTGCACATTTAAGATACCTACCCCAAAATGTGCATCAGAGGCATTATTTTAAACATTTATAAGGAAACTGCTCCGATAGATGCATTCAACATACCTGCACATTGGCGATACGTGCCTTAAAAATTGTGCAACTAGTATCAATTATCAAAGAAAGTATTGCGTTTACCTGCACTGACCCTACAATTACCTAATTTTACAGTCTTTTATTTATTTTGCTCATCTCGCGGAACAACGAAAATGGCTATCAATTTATGTAGTTATATAGATAATTAGATACTATTCGGTAAAAATTTCGCTTGCAGTAATTTCTACGTGGTAAGAGCTTCTCCATTATTTGGTTTCATAGGGATTTGGATACCTTCCTCATTGAAGTTGTAAAGAAAATTAGCTTAAGTGCCTTTTTCGGTTAAGTGCATAAGTTTTTCGTGCAAAGAAGGATGTGCAGCTAAGCAAAATATACTGTATGTATGTACATGTATGTATATGGACGAACGAACATTTCCTTACGCTACAAGATTTGTTGCGATGATTCTTGTGAGGTGCAAGTGCTTGTATCAAAAGTAACGAGTAAAGTAACGATACGAAAGATACGGGTGTTGATTGGATTAGTAACGAATACATACGGGTATCCGAAATTTCGTTACTTTTACAGCTCCAATAAATAAGACTTTTTCGAATAGATCGATCCATGGACCACTTAACGGAAAAAATGGATCCTATATGCTAATCTAGGCAAAAGGCTATCTACGTACCAAATGCATTTATTTAGCGTAGCTCGACCACTGCGCCACCTATCGGAAAAATTAAAACTTTGTGCGCTCCTCCTTCTAAACACCTTTCCAAAAAAGCAGCAACCATTCGAATCGGTTATGAAATATGGGAGAAAATTGTTCCCAACTGATTCGTGCTCACAATGAATTTCACAATTATCCGAAATTTTCCAAGCTCCACAACGAACTTTCCACCTTTACATCGTCCAAAATCATCAAATCATGCGATAAAATGCAAAATTTCGTCGAAAAAAATCAAATGTTTCGCGTTCTTCCGGATTTATCCGAGTTTTCCACTTAGAATTGTCTATTTTTCCATTCGAAAGCCATTCCGAAGGAATTGCACAAAAAAATCCATAAAAAAAAATCACGTAAACTACTACGACTTATGATTTACTCTTAAATCCTGACTTTTCAGATCTTTTACACCAATGTGCCCTGTATTTTTTTAAGAAAAATTATGCTATAGATAGGTAATTCTTTAGGATAAATTTATATGGAGTTTTACTAACTCAAATATTCCATTTACTCTCTTCATGTTGAGTGGTTAACAGATAAAAACTACTAAGTTGTTTTGACGCGTTTACAATACATTAGTTATATTTTGTGTTACGATTTAATGTATCCTATGCATATACTTATACGACTTGCCAATCCAACAACTATTACATGGATTTTTTAACCTTTTTTGTAAACAGAGTTATATCTGCCGAAGGAGATTTCTTTGGAGAGCTATGCCCCACCACCCGTGGTGAACATAAAGCAGCCTGAAGCGTATAACAAGCCAAGTTGGAAATTCACACCTACACCGTCGCCGGTGCCATCAATCAGCTTCCCACTGGCTAAACCCAACAGCGGCGGCGGCGTTGGCTTCCTAAGTTACGGCGCTACACCCCCACCAAAGCAGCAATATTATGAACCCACCAGCTACAGGACAGTGCCGCAATCTACAACTCCAAATGTAACCCAAATCAGTTATAACCCATCGCCGCTATCCTACGAAAAGATCGCTAAATTTGAGAATGTCGCTGAGCAACAGCTAGAAACCAATGACTGGAACTCTCAACCCCGTCGATTGGGCATACAAAGTCAAGGCGCAAATGTGCGGAACGCTTCACCAGCACAGTTTGGTGAGAGGTCTGGTAGCGCCGGCGATCACTTGTCGTCTTCGTCATCGCCCTATCAAACGCACAATGTTCCTAGGAATGACATCTATGAGCGGGCGACAACACCCATTTACACAAAACGCCAGAACATCAATAAGCTGTTGCATGGTCAAAACTACAACAACACGGCTCGCGGCTGGCGGGCAAGCAGCAGTGCCAGTAGTGTCGGAAGCTATCCAAAGGCATGCGGCGGTGCCTACAATACTGGGCTAGGCGCTGGTGGCTATGGAGGGGGCTACCAGCAGAAGCCATTGGCGACTGCAAACGATTTGCCTTACACCGATTTTTAAAATTTGATCAATTAAATCGGAAAACGATCAACCAAAATCAAAGGAAACTACTTATAACTTAAAGAGAAAAAACTATGCAGTGAACCAATAACGCGTAATAGATATACATACAAACATATATGTTTATTTTTTCGATTAATATGCAAAATTATATGTACATAGATTATCACTATTGAGGTTTACTAAAATTTACTAAAGTTTCGATACAACACTACTCAGATACATATGCGTACATACACACATTCATAAACAAATATTTACTAACCTACACTAAACCAAAATGAAACGAATTTCGAGCTTGTTAGTCTATTTTATGTAAGCTTCTTTAATTGCATTCGTGATTTGGTGGATTACGATAGGAATGATTCTTATGTGCAAAGTTCTGTAAGACTGGCTCCTTCAAATGTCGAACAAAATTTTCTTCAACGCAGATAAATAAATAATGACACACACAAGTTGGCACTGAGTTTTTACTGTATTTGGAAAATTGAATACTGCCAATTAGGAAATACTTGCCAGCTTTTATAGTATAAAACTGAAGCTGTAATTAAAAGCGGGCGGAAACTTTTAAGAAAATAACTTAGGCTACAAAGGTTCCGCATTTAAAAAGATTTTCAAACGCCCATTTTTCGATTTCCAAAGGTCCTTTATCAAAAAAGTAGAACAAGTTTCTATTCATGAAAACTTTCGTAATCAGAAATACTTACAACATGTCCATGATTAAGTTTAGTATGTAATCAATTTGAGTTCCTTAATTGACTTTCGGCTATCATCGAAAGTAATTGATGTCAATGAAGTCACAGCCATAAAAAGACAGAATTTTGTATGTGCTTATTAACAGCGCACTTACACGATATGTATTTGCATACATAAATGCTCCTTTTTTGTATCTACTCGTATGTACCATATATTAGAACGTACCAGAAAAGTAGTATTTACATATGCAAATACATATTTTTATTGAAAATTTTATTTGTACTGTGTGTTTTTCTTGCTTTCTGCGAACTATTATTAAGGTCTTATTAAAAAGCCCGGCCCGAAAGCGTTCCCCATTCTGCCGATTAGATTAAAAAAAGTTAAGGAATTCAGGCGTTCAGGAAAATACAATTACATAAAATACTTATATATAGTATACGGTCGAATTTTCAAGTTCGTTGAAGCTGTAAGGAATTCACACTGCATTATTCCAAAAATTACCAAATAAGGCCCTTTTTTTATAATTGCGATACGTAACTGTCTTTGCAATAAAAATATACCGACTGCTACGTCAACCTAACCTAACTTAGGGGTAACGAGCTTGCCGATGCAAATGCGAAAGAAGCAGCACAGTAATCCACAGCATTTGCCTACAATCAATTTCTTCTCAGCTATGCCAATTGTCAAATCCGGCAGGAAGCCTACGACTTATAGCAACAGGAATACACCGACGGGGAGAATTTTAGTAGACGGCAAATTCTAGAAAAAGGGGGGATGGGGAGGTGTAGAATAGGACCCCTTGATTTCAAAAATATCCCCCTCTTTTCTAGCAACCCTATAGTTCTTATATAATTTTTTGTTAAAGTTTTCGTATAAACGATGAATAAGATAGCAAAATAACATCAAACTTGGTGCTGCCAGACTGGAATTTTGGACAATAAAGGCGGATTTTTAATTCGGAATTTTCACTTAGTAGAATTCACCCTTCTGCGTAGGCGGCCTTCGGCCGCGCTTTAGGATTATAACCCTTACCAAAAAGAATTCTCCTTTTGTGGTGAACCAACTGGGGGTGGGGGGAAAGGATAAGGTAACTAGAATTCACTTTCTGTGTGGTTAACCTGGGGCTGTCACCCCAGGGATGTCTATTATGGTTATGATCAGGACTAAGACCCCTATCGATCCCAATGTAAATTTTTGCAATCAGAGAAATTTACGTATTCTGCACGTATTAAGCATTGCCTTCTTTGTATTTATTGTTTTGAACTATATGGCAACACATGTTATGTGTCAGTTTGCAACCATGTGTTATTGTAAATAAGGGTGCAATTGAATGTAATTTACAAGCCAATAAAAGTTGAATTAAAGTGATTTATATACAAGATAAAATAAAATAAAAGTGTGTAAAGTATTAAGTACAGTGCTATGTGCATATATATATAAGAAAGTATGTGACAAATGCACTTTTTGTTAAGGAAATCAAGTAGAACGACTTAAGAAATTTTAACAACAAATAACTTATAAACAATGACATTGTTTATATTTTTTACTTATACAAGTTTTAGAGGATACCTCCGTTAACATCCTGACCAAGTTTCATTTGTTAATTCCACCTAGTTTTCTTAAAGCACAAGGTGCGGCTGACTTCTACAGCCCACCCAAAGTGTGTCATCTATCTCTCGACCATGATTCAATATACAAGGTTGGATAACCTTGCAGTTGTCTCGCTCCCGCATTCTGACTTAGCCTGTGTTGCCGTCTTTTATGATTTATAGAAGATAAATAAATACGCGTACATTTAGCATATGAAAAGTGTGTCATCTATCTCTCGACCATGATTCAATATACAAGGTTGGATAACCTTGCAGTTGTCTCGCTCCCGCATTCTGCCTTAGCCTGTGTTGCCGTCTTTTTTGATTTATAGAAACTACTACTAAAATACTAGGAGAAATATTATCTTCATATAAAAAGTTTAACAGGCAACACTGCCGATATTTTCATCGATTGTTTCGTGGAAATTCATTTTCTTATTGCGCAAATTCAAGTAAGTATGCCAAAAAAATCAAAAATTATGGAAATATTTTGAATTAAAACAATAATTTACATATTTATTTGCAGGGTATCGGAGTTATTCATAATTTGTATTCAAAAAGTAGCGTTTTACAAATGCAGCCGTTGCAAGTAAGTTTTGCGTGCTAGGATCCCTGTGTGTCCGTCCACGTATGGCTGGTGCAGTCCACTCGGAACTACTTTGGTCAAGTGCAGCCGTTGCATACTTAGAAATAAATGTACAAATATTAATAAATATATTTTCTTGTGCAGGCAGGGTCATTTGCGTATCCGTCCACATTCGCTGATGCAGGGATTTACTCTTTTGAAGACGGTGTGCGATATTTTGATGTTTTGTATGTAAGCTTTAATAAGTGGAAAAAGTCCAGAGTACTAACCGTTGATCTAAAGAACACCCAAAAAAGTACTTCGATAGAATTCTTCATGCTGATTTCAACTATCACTAAATTAATAAGGTACTATGAAGTGCTAAATTTCGTTTTGCTGTTAAAGTTGTAAACTCCGTAGTACTATAAGCGATTATTAATTTTTTGTTTTTTTTTTTTAATTAGAAATACCTTGTAATCTCGTAAATAAAATTAAGCAAGTTTACTAGGTTTCTGTGGTAGCGAGGCAATTACACGTTTAGATAAATTGCCCTTTATATTTTTAAGTGGTAACGTTAACATGGTGTTGTTGAAATCAGCATGCAAAGTTCTATCGACCCATATTTTTGGAGGTTTTCATAGCATAACGGTTGGCGTTTTAGATTTATACCAAATAAGTTCATTAGAGTTAAATTTANTTCATAGCATAACGGTTGGTGTTTTAGATTTATACCCAATAAGTTCATTAGAGTTAAATTTCGATTAGGATTATTAATCATTACTAGTGTTCCCCAGTGGTTGAAATTCAACTACTACAATTAAGGGGAGTTTATGTAATTGAAGTAACATTAGTGTGAAGTAACATTAGTTGGAATGGGTAAAGGTGAGGGGAGTTTAACTTATAGCATAACATAACATACCATGGCATCTCATTTTTATGCCTCCCACTTTTTTCCTCTCTATCGTTTGTTTTATGTTTATGTTTATGTATATCTTCATCTGCATCTTTATCTTTGTCTTTATCTTCATCTTCATCTTCATCTTCATCTTCATCTTCATCTTCATCTTCATCTTC